TCTCAGAGTTTATTGTAACTTTTCCATCAACAAAAACCAAATCACTTTTCAAGCATCCGAGTCCAGAAAACCCACCTCAAATCATAACTCCTGTTGATCCTGACTCCCTGTTAAGAATCCTACCGAGTAGGTCCTAGCAACAGGTAACGGTACTTCTCTAGATGTAAGGTGATAGTTCTCAGGCCTGTACCTACGCGATCCCGATAGTCCAGTCCTACAACTAGTACCGTGTTCGTGCCTATCTCCTTATTCTTCTTCTTAGTCCTTGATTAGGACTTGATCTCTCCTCGTGGGAGGAAAGACAATTCTTGGGTTTCTTAAGATAAATCTTAAAGAGCGTAAAGGTAGGTTTTATTGATAATAACTTGAAGGTAGGAAATAAACAAGAAGAATATGTGAAGAGCTCATACTCAGGGTCCTAGTGACCCCTTTATATAGTAGCTCTTCACTTATCGTGACTCATACCTCTTGTCACGCGAACCCTAGGACTCATAACCATGAGTCATGCGAAATCCATCAGACGACTCCTATGAGTCGCTACGCAACATGTCTAAAACCAATCAAAACATAATAACCAGGTCAGGTGCGCAACTTGCGTCACCTGAGTGAAACCCATGACTCATAAGTCTGAGTCATGTGTTAAAATCATAACATCATATGACTCACAACTGTGAGTCACGAACAGGTATGGTGCCATTCACTTAAAACATGTACCTGGCTAGGTGCAACATGTAACGCTCAATCCTCTATGTAGCCAGCCCATACCCTAATTCCAGTATCTTTTGGCAAACTTTACCTTTTCTTTGTAACTACTTTATCTCTGGAATAATAGATTAATTCACAGGTCTACAGTTAGGTAGTCCAGATAGTCTGTTTAATTATCTATAAAATAAAGACAAGATACAGGCTCAGTAATTAAAACCTACGAGATCCATATTAACCACCAATGTCGAATCCTGCTACTGCCTTTAATGCAGGCATGCCACTCACACCATTGAATCAAGTTAATCCCTCTACACTCCGCAGTCGAGCACGGAGAGAGCGACTACGACAGGCAAAGGTTTCTCAAAATCTTGATACGCCTCCTGTGCGACTTGGTTCTAGTTCCTCCTCTATAAGCCTATCTTCAAGAAATGGTAAGTTTCCTAGTAGAAATTCAAGTATTATTTGCAATTATGATATTAATAAATAGAATCTAGTGGCCGCCTCAACTTTAAGAGTACGCAAGTATCGTGCACGATTACGAGCAGCCAAGTTAGCAGTATCCAGTACAAATACATGTACTATGGAGAGTGAAATACCTTCAGGAGAAATGGATCAGGCTGAGGCTCCAAGCCCCTCTACAATTCCGATTGGGTTTGACCAAGCACAATACACTGTCAAAAAGGCTTTAAGCAAGTGGCCAAAACGGCCAGGGCAAAAATTTATGCCATCAGCATCACGACTAAAAGTTCTGAAGTCAGCAATGAAGACCATTGCAAAGGTCCTGAGATTAGAATCAAAGAAGCCAAAAGTTAATGGTTTATATTATACTTGGCATTACCAAGTATATTTGTTTCTCAAGCTACAAGCACAGCAAGAGAAAAGAGCACTGGCGGGACCTGATCTATTTACAGGAGATATTCCAGAACTAGAAAGCCGGAAAGTGCTTGCTAGACGTGTTGCCGCAGGGGGTGGATGGGGCAATTGGGTCTGTTGCAGAATTATGAGGCAGGAGGTTATGTGGGTTAAGAGGCGAGTTATCGAAAAGCCTAAGCAAGGAAATCATCACAGGATCGTAAGCCTGTTAGAGGATGCTGAGACCATACTTTTCGTTCGTACATATCTCAATTTGGTGGGAGAAAGTAAGTTCAATTCCATAATTGTAGTATTTAAATTTTGATGGGTACATACTAGAAGTAGTACTAGTATAATATTATAATACTAACAAAAATTAAAGAATTGACAGCAGGAGGTTTAGCCCGAGCAGTAACTGAGTATTGGCATTTCAACAATCAAGAGATAAGCAACCGATCAGTTGCCAATCTGGCACGTGAGGTTGAAAAGGCCATATCCTCCTCTACCGCAAGGCGATGGCTCAAAAAGCTCGGATTTAAGTGGAAAGAATACCGGAAGGCTGTATACAATGACGGCCATGAGCGATCCGATATCAAACAGTACCGTGATGAGGTCTTTCTCCCTCAGTTAGACTCGTATAAGAATTGTTTGATTGCTTGGAATGAGAACCTCGACACTGAACCAAATCTAGAGTTGACATCTGGTGTTATGCAGCCTCTTGTATTTGTTACGCAAGACGAATGCACATTTAATGCCAATGATGGTCTACATTACCTCTGGATACATCAAGAGCATCAACCACTACAGAAAAAAGGACGCGGGAAGAGCCTTCATGTGTCAGATTTCTTAACTCCTACTGGCCGCCTTGGTGGAGGAGATGCATGCGTAATTTTGCCTTGCGGGGGAGATGTATGGTGGACCAGTGAGCGCTTATTAGCGCAAGTAACTGAGAAGGCAATCCCAGTCTTTGAAGCTGAATTTCCTGGATGTCAGGCGCTCTTTGCCTTTGATAACTCAAAAAATCATCTCAAGTTCGCCGATGATGCTTTAAGAGTAAGCGAAATGAACCTCGAGCCTGGAGGACTCAATAAAAAGGTCATGCGAGACACTTGGGTAGAGAATAAGCATGAACCAGGAGGTGGTTATATGCAGTCTATGACACTTCCTAGTGGAATCCCTAAAGGTATAAAGTTAGTTCTCATTGAAAGAGGACTTTGGCCTAACGATAGGCCAAACTTTCGAGCTCAGTGTTCAATACCAGCCAAAAATTCTAAAGGGTCAAAACCAAATCCTGTTTGTCTTCGAGGTGGAACCTGTTGTGCACGAGCTTTATTGGCTGCCCAGCCTGATTTTAAAGCACAAAAGTCTGAACTGCAAGAGACAATTGAAAAAGCTGGGCACAAGGTTGTATTTTATCCAGCCTTCCACTGTGAGATCAATTTTATTGAATACTTTTGGGGGGCTGTGAAGCGTTATACACAACAACATTGTGAGTATAACTTTGAGTCACTCCAGCGCCTAGTTCCAGAGGCTCTTGCATCAATACCTCCTAGTCTTATTTGGAAATATCATGCAAGGACTGTACGGATTATGGATGCCTATCAGAATGGTGTTGTCTATGCATCACCAGAATATGAAAGCCTGGTGCATAAGAAGTACAAATCCCATCGTCGGATTAGTACAAGGGCCTTAGATGTGGGGGTGGAATAAAGGTACTTTAGATTGTTCATACGAGAGTGTTACAGAAAGCAGATAAAATTGTATTAATTATTTGATGTTGTTAAAACTAGAAGTTAAAAATTTTCATTGGATGTGGAAATTAGGGTATGGGCTAGCTACATACAGGGTTGAGCGTTACATGTTGCACCTAGCCAGGTACATGTTTTAAGTGAATGGCACCATAAACATAATAACCTATAGTGCACTAATGTGCGTTATGTGAAATCCCAACATACCTATAACTCGGAAGTCCGAGCTATGTGAAATCTGCCTTGCTTAGTCACAGTTCGTGACACTCCCATACTTCATCCAAGCAGTCAGGATGATATTCCTCCTCGGCATTTCTAATACCTGGTAGATGACTGCCAAAACCAGCTGTAGAAAAGAAGGACTCATCACACCAAACAGTGAATAACCAATTATCATAGGTCCAACCCAACTTTTTCTGACACCACTGGACTCACTTTTCATGATTTTCAGCTCTTATTCCCCACTTGCGGTGAGGGGTACGTTTACGATATCCTTGTGATGCAAGGATATCTCGGATATGACTTGGATAATATGAGAGACCAAGGTTGGTACTAATTTCCTCCCATGGCATTCATCTTGTATTGCGGTCACGAGTGGTATAGGAAACAATGTTTTGAACATCGTCCTCCTTTAGAGTAGGAGGCCGCCCAGTACGCTTTCAGTTGGAAGGTGATCCTTGCCTCTTCGTCCGCAAATAGATCATCTGGCAGGTATGCCATTCAACTCCCACCTCTCTTGCGATCTCTTTCCATGGAGTAGGCGAACCCCTTTCAGTGAAGTGATCACGGAGAGTCACTATGCGAAGACGTTCGTCGCAGGTTGTTTCTTTTCGATAAATGCTTTGATGGTAATCGCTGTGTGTTCCTCGCGTTTTCATGGCTGTGAAATTGTTGCTCTGGATAATCGATCCAAGTCTGCTATTTGAAAACGTCACTATCCCTATATACTTTTGCCACATGGTGCCACACTGCGCCACAAAATGTTAACCACTTTCATACACCCCCGAGTACTAGTACTCCAGTAGACACCTAAAATCCACCCTGGATTACTGTGTAAACTAGCAACATTGGAGCGACTATTTCAGACTTCCAGCACTGCCCAACTTAAGTAACGCCCGGTCTTGGCGAAAAACCATAATTCGAGATAATAGGGTACTCGTACTCGAGTACCTAAGTACTGGTAAGCCGTTCCCCCCCATTAAACTGCCGCTTCCTTACAGATGCTACTTGACTACCGGTATGGTACTGGGCGGTATTTGTGCCGACACGTGCAGCGCGCCAAGCTTGCACGAGCACGCTATTGGTACACAGACTTGTAACGACGTGATCGATTACCGTACTACCCTATTGGGGGTGAGGAGGAGGAGGGTTTCCACGGACAACGCCGAAGGGATCTTGCTAGGGTACCGGCGAGGAGGCGAAAACGTGGTGGACTCTATCATAGGGGTAGTGTACGATGGGGCTACCGTACCTGAAGTCAGGGAAATGGAGTTTGGAGAGCGGACTGTACTGTACCGTACGGGTGACATCGCGAGCATTCGAGTGCGGTAGTGGTAGGGAGGGTAGGGTACTCGAGTACTCAGTACATATGGCGGTGTGGTTGGAGGGAAGAGCGGGTGAGTGAGTGATATTACTCCAGTACAGGGTACGGTATACCGGTAATGCAGTACCGGCGTGTCTTGGCTTGCCGTATGTTATGCCTACTTCTGCCCTACCGGTACCATGATGATTTGTGCTGTGGCTTATGTTCTCAGAGTTTATTTGCTATTTGTGGTTAGCCCAGGTTGCTTCCGGCACACCGGCCTCACTGGACTTGCTTGCTTGACTGCCCGCCCCCAGCCTGACCCATATGCATACCGGCACGGGATGGCCATACAGGTATTACTACAATATCTATCGCGAGCCCTAGTGTGTCCCTATTCTCGCGTCCCCACCCCTCTCTCAATACTAAGGATAGGGGGAGAGGGCTTGCAACCCAGTCCATATCGTCCCATAGGTACAGTGCATACGGCCCTTACCACCTGGTACCCGGCTTCTCAACCACCACCCAGACCAAAAAAACACAGAGCAAAACACAAGGTAAAAAAGGACGACAGAAAAAACACTCTCTCTTTCATCATACATCCCCCCCAATGGCTCTTGAGAGAGCTGTTACCCGGGAGGAGCAGTCCACTGCCATATCCCCGCAAACCCCTACGGCGCAGGAATCTTTTAACCTCCGCTCCTCGGCAGGGTCGGCACCGGGTGGCGCAGCAACAGCTGTTCCACGCACCGGGAATTTTACAGAGACGAATTCGGCGTCTGCTGGCTCGAGATTGTGTCCCTCTTTCTCATATAGCGAGAAGTTTCAAGATTGCCAGAATAGTAGTGGCATCGAGATTAGAGAAGGTGATGAGAATGCTGCTGCCACCGAGGTGGCTGTCGGGGCTGGCGTGGCTCCAGACGCTGCAGCTACACCGCACGCTTTGGCCCCGGAAGGGCAGCAGGAGGGGTTGTCGCATAGGAGGAAGGCTATAATTGTTCTGGCCCTCTGTGTATGAGATTCTGCCTTTCTTTTGATTCATTTTTTTGCGGGTTGGATTGAGTTGGGGTGAACGAGATGGTATGGGGAAAAGAGAAGGGGACAGAAAGTGATGTGCTGATTCGTGGGTTGTGTTAGATAGTTATGTGTGTTTCTGGCGGCGTTGGATCAGACAATCAGTATGTTGCTTTTTGTCGCATAATTATTTGGATTGGGGGTTTTTTTTTTCTGCTTGGGATTGGTTACTGATTTACCGGGTTGGCGGGTAGTTACCACAGCGATTCCGATTATTGCTGCGCAATTCAATAGTGCTACTGGATACACCTGGATTGGTAGCTCGTATGCTATTATCCCTTTCGCTGTGCATCTGTCGTTGGTGTTGAGGTGTTGAAACTGACTTTGTCTGGCTGGGACGAGTAGGTATTTGTTGACTTCGGCTGCGTAAGTTTTTGCTTTTCGACATTCCTACAGCTCCGCACGACGGGAGAAGCTAGACTAACCTCCACAGATTCATGCCAGCATGGGGTAAACTCAGGTGGGCCTCTATCCATTGGCTTATGAATTGTAAAACGTTTACTAACCCCTCTGTAGCGACATCTGGGGTCGCAAGCCAGTCCTCCTCTCTGCAGCAACAATATTCCTCATTGGAAGGTTAGTTCCTAACCCGTTACTACAATCTACTCTGGTGTTATTACTTGTCTGACAGTATGTAGCATCCTTTGCGCAGCAGCCCAAAACCTAGGAATGCTGCTCGCGGGCCGTGTGTTACAAGGCCTGGGAGCCGGTGGTCAATTAGGTCTCGTTAACGTCACCATCTCCGACCTTATCGCTGTTAGGTAGCATCATACATGATGTCCCGCAATAGAGCTGGTCGCTAAACGTGCGTAGGGAGCGTGGCGTATACTTATCTTACATTGGGTTAACGTGGGCCTTCGCATCAGCCATTGGGCCGGTACTTGGGGGAGTTTTCACTGAGAAGGTTACATGGAGACTGTGCTTTTGGATAAATGTGCCAATTGCAGTCTTATCAATGAGTAGCTTGATATGTCTTCTCCACCTGCAATCGCCGAAGATTACGGTGAAGGAAGGGTTAAAGAGAGTGGATTGGCTTGGTAATTACAGATTAAATTTCCCCTTTTGCTCATCAGTCCATGGGTAGAATTGTGCTTGCGTATCTTTGCACTTTATTTGCTGACGATATGTTTTGATAGGAATCGCACTTGTCGCCTCCGGCACAGTCCTCTTCCTCCTGGGCGTCGAATTCGGCGGCGTTTCCCATCCTTGGGACTCGCCGATCGTGATATGCTTTATTCTGTTTGGAATTCTGATATTGTGCTCTTTTGTCTACGTTGAGTGGAGGGTGGCTAAATTGCCGATTATGCCTATTAAGCTTTTCACTAACCGGACTAACGCCTGCGCTTACTTTGTACGTGCGTCTATAATTTGGGTATGTTTTTTGTGGGCGCTGATAGTGTCTTTAGGTTGGATTACTTCATGGGTTCATCTTCATTGCGGGATGCTACTTCATTCCTCTGTAGGTTGCGATATGCGGGGTTTCCGGTGAGGGGAGTTGGGCTAATGTACCTGTAGGTACTTCCAGGCGGTTCGTGGAGACACGGCTTTGATGGCGGGGGTGTATGTGTTGCCATATGTTATGGCATTATCAGTCGTTTCTGCTATTAGTGGATTGATAATTGCCCGGACCGGTAAGTCTTTCGTCTCGACCCCGTTTGCATTGGTATTCCATGTGCTAACTGGGGTCTGTAGGACGCTATCAAGAAGTAAGTCATCAACTATAGCTCGCATTCCGACTTTTCCTGCCGCAACTAACATCCGCCAGGTAATCTGGGCCGCCGTAACAATGATGACCCTAGGAGCCGGCCTCATAATAGACCTCGATAGGACCAGCGGCTGGGACAAAATAGTGATCTACCAAATAATAGCGGGCATGGGCTGCGGGCCCCTCTTTCAATCACCGCTCATAGCTATCCACGCAAACATCGACCACCGCGATGTCGGCACCGCAACCGTTGCCTTTACCTTCCTGCGCACTCTGGGCACAGCCCTGGCGATCTGCATCGGCCTAGTTGTATTCCAGAACTCGATGCAATCCCAGTCACACGACCTTGCGGGCGGCCGCCTCCCTGACGAAGTCCTCGATGCTATTTCCGGCCACTCGGCCGCTTCCTCTGTGGGCTTTGTCCAGACGTTGGAGCCGGCAGAGAGGGCTGTGGCGAGGGATGCATATGCGCGGGGGTTGAGCACTATGTGGGACTTTTTCCTCGCCGTCTCGGCTTGTTGTTTCCTCTTCTCGTTGGGAATTCGGAAGCATTATTTGAGCAGGCAGGTGAACTCCACCCAGCCCGCGAAAGTCCGGAGGAGGAAGACTGGGGAGGATGAGCATGAGGGGGTGTGAATTTGGGATTGGGATGTTTTTTCTTCATTTTCTTGTCTTGGGATATAATTACTAGATAGTAGACTGGACTGGACTACATGGATGGTGGATGGGTTGGTGTATAGCTTAGCATGCACATGAGTAATACGATAGTCGAGTGCTCACGGATTGATGATTGAGCAAGGGCATGTATCGTGCTATATTTATGGAATTCCTTTTTATTCCACCCCCCCATTTCTCCAAAGCTTAGCTTGCGGTAGTTCAATGATAGTAAATTGCTTTTCTTTTTAAAGTGGACGCAATAATTTCCGACTGGAATTGCGGGGTGGGACAGGGCAGGGCTGGTAGGTAGGCGAGGAAACAGATGATAGGGGATAAATGGGGAGTTCATAAAAGCGAAGGTGGGTGGCAGGCGGGTATATATAGGGGCGAGGAGAGTAGATTCTTTTTCAAGTAAGATGTGAGGATAAGGTTTTTTTTTTCATTTTTTTCACCACCCCCCTCTTCTCCCTGTTTCACCCCCACAAGACAGAAAGCGGCAAACTGACGTATGGCGGAAAGGAAGATGAAGAGAGGAAAAGATGGTTAGTCATAGGTGAATAAAACTTTGATGACTGTCTATCCCGAGTTTCCAAGATCTTGTTGACTGACTCGATTTTTATATATATATATATTTTTTGGCCTGAGGGAGGAAGTGAGGGGGATTAATCTGATCGATAGGTATATCAACGTTGCCGGAGGATTTCTGTACATGTTTTGAAATTATTATTATATCCCAAGTTATAAGTCATTGTTATAATTGTTGTATCGTGGGTAGGTGGGTGTGTAGGGAGGGAATAAATTATTCAACTATGTCGGGGAGGGTGAAGCACATACCGGTTAGGAATTCTTCGCTGGAGGGTTGGGAAAGCGCGTTAGCGTATCGGCTTGGAGCTGAAGGCGGGGGGTGGGGAAGTGTGGGGCTTACAAGCTCAAGGTGATGTATCTATTACTCTGGGTTAGCTACTCTGTGAGACATTTGGGCAAGGAAGGAGGAAGCCTACCCATCTCGATCGTCGTCGTACTTCTTGAATACTTCCGTCATGCGCTTAAGACTGATACAGCTCTGCACGAACAAGTCGAAAGAGATGGCCTCTTGCCCTTTAGCTCCTGCACGTTAGTCTCACATAAATCAGGGAGCAACCGTCCCCACCTTGTTGGACAGCAGTTTGAGGCGAGGAATCCTGACCTCTTCGGTCATATGACCTAAAAAGTAGTTGCACGAACTGTGGTGAAAGACGGTAGCCGAACGCTATTCGTGAGGAACATGTTTAGAGGTTGGTAATATGTAAGAGAAATGAGAGAGATGTATAAGGGTGAAGAAAAAAGTATACCGGTTAGAGCGTTGGAGAATTCTTGGATGCTGATATTGCCACTGCCGTCTTCGTCGAAGCGGTCGAAGAGGGAGCGCCAGGCGGCTAAGAAGCCCCAGAGACCGCTGCGGGGTGTGTTAGTAGTTTGTATGTATTGGGGGAGAAATGGGGATCTACCAGAATTCATTGAAGCCGATTGTACCGGAACGGTCAGTGTCGAACATCCTGTGGATGTGCTGTCAATATAAACCGCAGACAACTCGTCGGGAGGGGGAAAGAATTGTAACCTAATCATCATACGAACAGTATGAGGATCAAAGGAAGTCCAGTCCCCATTGACGAGTGCTGCTCGAAGCTCCTTCTCACTAAGTTGTCCACTGCCTACATTCAAAATCCCGTTGTGAGCCCAAAACGCAGGCGAGTATTAGGGATACGGGGGAAGCAGTAACCAACCATCCTTATCCACAGCCTTAAATAGCGGGAACAACGTCGGGTCGACCCCCTGTGGTGGGGCGGGAGTAGGCGGAGGTCTTGAAGCTGGCGGAGGTCGCTGCCCGAGGTGTCCGGACGGAGGACTGCCGAACTGTCCCGGAGGTGGGGATTGGAACTGCTGGGGTCGCCCGGGCGGAGGCTGACTGTACCCCTGCTGTCCCTGCGGGAACCCCTGTTGCTGCCGGTACGGGTCTGGGCGGGGGGACATTGGCTTCGCACCGCCACCACCTCCGTAATTTGCTCCCGCTGGAGGTGGGCGGCTCGGAGGGGGGCGGTTGTCGTACCCACCGCTCATCATTTGTGCGGCCTATTAAAGGTAACGTGAGCAAGTTGTTGGTCGGAAGATGGAGTAAAAGTGGTGGTGGTGGGTAGATGGGGGTTGGAACTTACTTGCTCCGGTTCTGCATGGCTGTGGAAATGATGTAGAGAGTGTTAGTGGGCCTCCCATATCAAAGAAGTGAACAAATAGAAGGGCAGAATGGTGTCCGGTATAGAAAAGAGCTGCGAGAAACTTGCTTACGCTGGGAGAGCATCGGGGTTTGAGTTGTAGTAGGCCATTTTTTGGTGCCGGAATATATCTTCGCGCGTTAGCGGGGTCGGGGGCTGATCGAGCTCGATAGTAGCAGACGAGAATTAGCCTCGGTGACAGGATGAGCAAGGGAAAAATCGCGAGATAGGGTGTGTGGGTGGTAGGATAGAGGATTAGGAGGAAACAGAGGTTGCAGGAGAAACTAAGCGGTAAGATGGGAGATGGTTGGCGCAGCTGGATACCAAACGGAGCGCTGAGTGAGTGATGATAGCGGGAGCGCTGGTGAGTCCTGGTGGGGCTTCTGGAGGATATTCTGGCGACAGGGGTGGGCATTGGCTTGTCAGCTGTGGCTTGGTAATTGGCTTTTCAGCCGCCCAGAGAAAGTTCTGCGCGATTCCCTTGATTCTTTCTTTCCTTCCTCGACACTCGTCTCTCCCGCCAGCAAAGCACCGCGCTTTTTTACCCTTTTTATTTTGTTTTTATTTGTTTCAACTAAGGGCATCGAACCCACATCGGATGAACCATTCGAATGAATTCTGGCTGTTCGGATATGGGTAAGGCAACGGGGCATTGGAAGGGGAAAATTCTCATAGAAGGGGGAAGAATATTGCTATCATGATAGATGTAGCTTCCTTCTCGTTGGTCTGTTTTTTTTTCTAATACCGGGCTCGCGATTTAGAAGCCTCATCTGGAAGCCACCGCCAGATTATGGTGAGATGATTTGCGATGTGTACCACATATCACGCTTGAGTTTTTCAATTATACTCACACCAAATGTTTGTAGACCGTCAGGTCCCGGGCTACATTAAAGGCAAGCTGGTGGGTGCATGCGCTTCCCTGCGGACGCTTGGAATTGGATTTGTGGGAATGGCCTACTCGAGGGGTAACCTAGTATGTGTACGAGTACTGACTGACTGATGTCCGGGTGTCTATTATGTACTTAGTCTGATCCTTGTTTGATGGGTACCGTTAGAGTTGAAACTTTTTGTTCTAACTCTTTTTTCTCTCTTTTTCTTTTCACCGTGGCAGGCTTTGTGAGGAGGTTTTGGCAATCTAGGTAAGGAGCATGTCTTCCCCGTTTCAAATTCCCGCACTGTTACGGCGAGTGGAGGGAAATAACGGATATTGGCATTTCGGGCCTTGTGGTCGGCGCCCGCATATGGGTCCCGGACCCGAGCGAGGGGGAGGCGAGATGGGAGATGGCTGACCGGGTGAACCTAGCGAGGACCACCGTGGGACGCCGGAGGCGTATGTGCAGATTCTACATTATCCGTTATTATGGAACGCCTTGACCATTGATTCCTGGAGACATCATTCTTGAACATTGACCATAACATCTTTAGACCAGGGCGAGTGGTTACGTTGATCGAGAGATCTTATTGGAAGACGCTGAACGATCATGTGAATGCGATGGATCCGTTATGTGCGGTCGTGTGGCCTACTGACAATTACAAGGATTTTGAGGACGACGACCAGGTATGGGGCATGGCCTTCAGGATTAAAGCCAATCGAGTAGAAGACGTAATGAGGTATGAGGGACGAAAATGAACGAAAAATGATGAAATTTCAAGAGAGGGTTTCTCTCAAATCTCTTCGGGATGGCTGACCATGGTGATAGGGAGCTAAACATTCGGGAAATAAACGGGTACAGTGTCCGCAACGACATCGAGGTGTTTTCAGTGCGTTCTCAGCGAAGCCAATAATTCCTCTAGTAAATCTAGTTTGCGGGGGAAGAGACAAAGTGCTGACCTCCGCTTGATTTCAGTCCGAACCGGATGTCCCTCCGATCAAGGCGTTGGTTTATATAGGGACACCCGGAAACCCGCAATTTATCGCACGTGAAGGTATCCCGGGGCTCGACGAACTTGCGCGCCACATATTCAACTCTCGGGGGCCGTCGGGTGAAAACCGCGAATATCTGTACAACCTACACAAGTCGCTGACAGGCCTTTGCCTAGCAGCCCATGATCGTCATGTTAGTCGTTTATTCCACCGTGTTGTCGCGATCGAGGCTGAGGATAAGGTCAAACACCTTGGTCCAGGTCTAGGGGGTCCGGGGAGCGAGGATGAACAGGAGCTGGAGGGTTGAGGGCTGTTTCATGATAGTCATTATTGTTTTAGAAAGAAAAAAAAATGCATCGCATTCTGATATTGCCTCCAGAAAGGGAGAGATTGGGTGACACAAGAAAGACATTGATCCCCCACTTTTTTTCGTTTACAGTTTGGAAAGAATTAAACGCGCTATCACCCACACAACTCTCATCCTACTATACCTCAATTATAGAAACTTCGGTATGGAATTGGGTGCGAGGTTCTCAATACCCCCCCCCCCCCCCCCCAGCCGCCCCCACCACCACCGCCTCCATAGCCACCACCTCCATAGCCACCTCCAGAACCACCACCACCGCCTATAAAACAAGTCAGTAGACGTCTAGGACTATTACGGAATACACCTGCCTTGGCGGCGATCGCTAGCCTTGTCAACGCGGATCCTGCGGCCGTCAAATCTAGAGAGTTGGGTTGAAGCTTAGTTGGGGAACTTCAGTGATACTGGGGGGCGAAAGTACGCACTCCATGTCATTCATGGAATTCATAGCGGTGGTAGCATCATCATCGCTACTGAATCTCACAAAACCGAACCCGCGGGATCTGCCAGTGTCACGATCCTTTACGACAACCTTTACACGGAAGATGTTAGTAACTGGCCGAAACATGAAGCGGAGACTCTAAATCAAGGGGGAAAGCAAAACAAAGTCGCACCGCTTCTTCAACAGACCCATATTCTTCGAACTTTGCCCTTAAGGAATTATCGTCGGTGTGCCATGCGAGGCCTCTATTGGGGATTAATTTCGTTCAGCGGTTGAGAGGGGTAGTGGCAGGTTGCCAAATGGGGCTGTAGGGTTAAGACGGCTTGGTTTTGGGGTACGAGGAGAAGGAAAAGAGTGGCGAGAGATTGGGTAGGAGAAGTGAGGGAAATGCGCGCAACGAACCCGATGAAAAGTTTAGTCATTGTTCTGAGGTCGTTACAAACTGATTCTGAGGAGGAAAGTAACTGAAGGCATAATTTAACATTAAGGTGGCACACTATGGTTGGGCGGTTGCCCGTGATAAGAAGACGATGGGATGGGGAGAAAATGCATGCCTGAGCGTCTCCAAAGGAGGACAAAAATGTGAACTTGTGAGCTTGTGTTGCGTTTTTTGAGTGAGAGAGAGAATTGTCCTTGATGAAGCTGTGACCCCAGTTGTAAGGAAGAGGAAGAAGGTGGAGGGGGGGATGGCGGAGGCAGTGGAGGTTTATGAAGGAATCGTAGGAAGTGCAGGGAGTGTAATTCGCTGGGCGGAGGGGGGGTGGAGGGCAGGGGTGGAAAGGGGAGTGTGCGTAAGAGAGTGTGGGAGAAGGTGGTGAGGAGGAAAGGTGTGGGCGAGGAAGGAGGGACAGGAAGGAGCTGGGTTGGCCGAGCAGCGTGAAACCTGCTCCCCGAACAAAGCGCACAACTTTGAACGCTATCCTCGCGCATACCGAAATCACATAGGAAGCGTGAGCAAACACCCGGCTTTCAAGCCACTTGCCGAGACGTTCTAATTCCGAATGGAGACTTGCACAGGTGTCGAACGACTCGAGTGACTTTTAGGGCGGGAAATCGCGATGTATCTAGTATGATACCGGTTCCACAACGATGGGCCCATTTGGTGCGCGCAAGGGCGAAAAGTTATATGGCATATCGTATTTGTGAAATGTTGCAGCATCGTAGTCAAAATGTGAAGTGGGGAAGAGGGAGAGAGAGAGAGGGAGGTATGATATGATGTGGAGGTGGTTAGGCTCCTGATTCATCTCTCCCCTCATATCCTCACATAAGCTACGCGCTGCCGGGCACTTCCATGATCCCTCTCTCCTGCGATCGAGCAAGTTAGAGTAAGTCGGCGAGCAAGAAATAAGGCAAACTGGTAGAGTGGAAGGGGGTTGAGATGCGGAAGGTGTCCGTTGCTGTTCAGTGCCATACGGTATTCCTGACTGGACTACGAGTGCGGGGCGCGGGAGTCTGGGTGGGCGTAGTGCTGGCCGGCCGAGAAATTGTCGACTCTTGGGCAGGCACCACCACCTTCCAGCCGAACAGAGGTGGAGCGATCGGCAATGGGGGTATCTCCTCTACCCTCCGAACTGGGTGCTGGTGGAATCAGGCTGGATGTGGTCAACAAGGGAATGCAGAAAAGCTCACTGTACGGTACGGTACTGTGCCGGTACGGGCGTGGACTACAAGTACTTGGGTGGTGAGGGCACTTACCATCGCCGGGGCACACCGGAGCATATCGTACAGTAGGGCAGTATTGCAGTAGGGTACAGTACCGGGACGGGACGCGACAAGGCAAACGATTAAATTATATAGCTCGTGTGTTACAAGTAATTGTTCGGGCCTGGTACATTCTCGTGCATGCCATGGTATTACCGTATGCCTCGCCCTCCACGGGCCCAAGTGGATGGCTTGTTGGTGCGGCAAAGGTTGCAAATTGTTATTGTGGATGCCAGGCTACAGGCCTTTGGCCTGGGAAAGGAGGGAAGGGAAAAAGGATAGGGCACGGTGCGAGCAAGCCATCCATCCTGTCATCGCATTGTTTCAAGTCAAGTTACTTGTATGGTACGGTAGACCAGCAGCAGCCTATACTGGCGCAGTGCAGCTCAAGAGCTGTTCAACGCCGTGCTACGTCATAACCCACCCCTCACCAAGGGAATTTTTGGGCGCATCGCATTTGTTTTGACCAATTGGGGGACCCACCTTTCTCCTTCCCCTCAACCTGGACGGATGGCTCAAAGGCCGGGAATGTTGACAACTGACAAGTGACAAGAGGACAATGTGCGAGTACGGAACCGTACTGTGATATCACGGTACCATACCAGTAGCTTACTGAACCCTCCTCCGCTTGCTCGGGATCGAATGGAGAGAGAGAGCTTGCTCCGGTGTGGGTGGGAGCAAAAAGGAAAAAAATGAGGGAGTGATGGAGGCCGACGGAAAGAGACAGGAATTACCTGCTCAGGTTGCGAGCTCCTATCGGTAGTTCTTTGAGGACGCAAAGTCCCGTTTCAGACCAACTGGTACGCTTTTCGTCACTTTGGAGTGAATTAGCCCTTTCATATCACTGCGGTAAACCCATCATCGCTCCTCGCCGATAACGATACCTACATCTCTGCCACCTGACCGCATACAGCTGGTCTGGGAATGTCAATGCAAGTATGGTAGCCGGGAACAGGAGGGGAGGCGACGGCACGGTGTGGAATCTGGGCCTTGGGCTCTTTCGGAGGTTTGCGGGTCTGGCTTGGCGGTTGTGTACGGTCCGGTGCTGAGTTTGGTTGTAGACTATTGTGTAGACTATCGTACGGAGGAGCCGGACGGTATGATACGTTAATTTTCGGGAATATACTCGGGTGCCGTACTAGTACTGTACCTCGTACCGGACGGTTGAGGGGAGAGCAAGATCGGCTTCTCCGCAGACAAAAACTCGGAAGAAGAAATGGTAGTGAAGCCTCAAGTGGACCTTGCAAGCACTTGTACGAGTACCATCCACGATCCTTGTCCTGGGATGGGTGCAAGGGCCAGACGTCAGGAAATTGGTACAAGTACTGTACAAGGCCGGTACTCGAGTACTCGGACAAGTCCAAGTGCGGGGCAGGGGTGTGGAAGTTGATTTTGGTCAGAACTGGTGGTGAGCCGCACATGCTCAGGCTGGGACAAAGGCCTTCCATCGCTCGGCGCGAGCCTGGAGAGGGTTACGGTATTTATGCGGTGGATGTAAGGAAATGGGTGCTGTGCATCGGATCCGCCAGATACGAGTAGACTACATCAGTTCGGGATTGACAGAGGCAAGAGGAATTAGAGTCGCTCACTGGTATTGGTTCTGTACAGTACTCGTAGACTATGCTATGAGCAACCCTACTCGAATGGAGAGATCGTTTGAGATGTGCAAGCGGACTTGTACTATCATTCCACTCTTGACCCTTGTAACAAGAAGGTGTGTGGGAACCCTTTCGCCTGAAGAGCTGCGCGACTAAGTCTAATCTGCTTAATGCGATCCACGGATGTGGGATCATAGAGGTCACCTGCCCCAATGATTACCCTATCCTTGGCAGAATGTACTATGTACTCCGTAAAAATCGCGGTTTCTTGGCAGTAAGTGTATTCCCGGTATCATATCTGTACTCGTACTAATAACAGCTGGCACCCCTGCAAATGTAATAAACCCAAGATCACATGACAAGTGCTTGGTTACCCTAACGGATTGAACTGAATCCGCTACAAGCAAGGTAAAAAATGCACCTTATTAATTTTCATGATTGTTTTCTAAGTATAAAATATATTTATAGGACAATCTGAAATATTGCTGGCACTGATTTTTAGAAAGATGGCTTACTTATCTAAGTACAAAATGGTAACCATAATTGCATAGTTAATTTAGATAACAATATGAGTATGGTGTTGTTAGAACCTGCACATGGGCTTTTATGGTTGTTACTGGGAAAACAGGTTTGAAGAGTGGCAATCTGAGAAAATCAATCTTGAGATAAACACTTTTTCATTTTCTCTATGGGGGAATCACTTCTCTTCTATAATAAAAAAGTTTAAAAATAAGGTAATTTGATTAAAAATTTATTTACTATGTGGAGTATATAGCTATCATTTAAAATTTGCAAAAACATATTATTTACATAATTTTTCTACTATGTTTATTCTTGGATTCCCAAGGTTACTATCTTCTATATTTTCTTATTTTTGACAATCCCTCTTTAATCAATAGAGCTTTTCTTGACTACTCAATTATCTGGCCTACTTGTGACTATATTTCTGAACTTGTAGCAAGAATATTATTCTTATTAGAATAGGTGCTAATATCTTTATAGAGTTTTTTATTACCTGAACTTGATGTTAATATTATAAAAGGTACTGTATTGAAGATTTATAATTCATTAATCCTATACTTCTTTATATTAAATCTTTGCCAATTACTAAAAGGCAATTGCTATAAGTTATCTACTATAGGTTTTCTAGTATTAAATTTTGTTACTTATTTTCTGAGGATTTATGATATTCTTTATACAATAATATAATTCAACAAAAAAATAATTTTTACTTCAACTACTTATAATATCACACTCATCTGACCTATTGATTTAAAATCAGGTTCTACAGATAGCCAAAAAGCTCTAGCATTTTTTTTTTGAAAAAGAAATGTTTTTAAGATATGGTTCCAGACATTTTAACTGTCTACCAAGTAATTTAGAACAGGGGATGCCTTGGCATTCAGCCATAATTTTATAAAGTATATGGATGTTCAAGTCCTGGACCCAGCATAGTTATTTTTAATTTAGTCAAGCCACATATCATATTGTCATATAATAATATGAACGCGTTTTTATTAGAACCTACACTTAGGCACTTAACATCAAACAATTGTTTTTGACCTAGAAAGCTTCATAGACATGTAGAGTATATATTCATCAGTTCAAAAAATATTCATGAGTCTTATATACTGTAATTTGCAGCTTCTGAACCAAAAAATGTAAAAAATACCAAAATGCATTTTTTTGCACTAAAAATATCTTGCACTTCCTAAGCATCAGTAGCACCAAATCCTATCTCAATTGGACAACTGCTTCTTGTGGTATTTTGAATTAAAGTTGTTGCATTTTTTTTCTATAAAGGTTTGTTACACAAACAATATCATAAAACAGTACTAAAAATAAAACCCCTAAAGCCTAAAAGTTACAAAATCCTGACAACAATGTATTGTTTAAAGCAATAACAATGCTTTATAGGTGTAATATAATGTTATTGAGTAAGTCTTAGGATGTTGCTATACTAAAAAATCACATAGAGTTATGGTTAGACTTAGATTTCTTTACATAGAAATAATTGTTATTTCCTTCTGATATTTTCCATGTACTTAAAATATTTTTAAATATTTTTCTTATAAAGTAGTGGGATGTCAAAGTTGGAGGAAAACTAAAACTTGATTTACTTGGAATTATGTTTTCTGATTGCCACACTTCAAATGTGTTTTTCTTGTCTTGGCAAAAAAAGCTAAAGTGTAGGTTCTAAAAAAAACGTGTTCATATCATATTATCATTTGAATAAAAATTACTCTACCTAATGTCTCATGTGGCTTAACAATTAAAAAAATAGTATGACCTTACTAGGAATTGAACATAGGTACAT